TGGAATAAAATTTCCAGCCATCATACATTTTTGTACATGTGAAATCTGGAAACAGTAAGAACAGGATATGACAAGAGAAGGGAACTGTTACGAAAGAGGAAAGGAGTGAGTGTGGGCGACAGAGGAAGATGTGGCTGAAGTACCTACAGTTGATGGGCACTTGTGGCGAACAAAAGAGTAGCATCCCAGTTAGGGAAGGGCTGGTGTTTTGAGATGTGTGGAGTTGCTCTCCCTGTGTTCCCACCTTCCCATCACTAGGATGGAGACATCATTCATGAAGTGAAGTATTCTACACGTGGCATTGAACACTCTTTAAATACCATTGTCTTCAGATTGACCCCATGCCTGGAGTACAGACTCACCATAAGATCCCAAGTGTCCAGTTGCTGTTTGGTCATTCCTCTGTTGAAGGGAGCACATGGAAACTTCACCACTGAGGATGAGCCCTCTCTGTCTGCATCCTTTCTCTTGGAGATGTAGAGCATCGCACTGCTGAAAGGCCACCATCCTTACCCCTTCCAGTTTTCATGTCCTCTTTCATGGGGAAATATTTTCCAGAAAGGGGGAAGAAGATGCAGAAAGATTTCAGAGCAGCTGGCAAAGGCAGAGAGCAGACAGACGGGCAGCTCAGATGGCAGTTGGCCCCGCGTCTGCTCTTTGTATACTGCTGGGAGCAAGCCCCGGAGCCAGAGTACCCTGCTCAACCAGTGCATGAAGCAGTGCATGTCGGAGGCAGCTCCTAGACGCGGGGAGGAAGCAATGCTGGCCCAGTGACTGGATGATGGTGGAGCATTGTGGCTGGGGGCTTTGGGTGTCACGGAAGCTGTGAGCGTGGTGAGAATGTTGCACACAGCAAAACCCGTTGCCTAGGCTGCCCTGGATGTGCGTATGAAAATTCATTTAATCTGGGGCAAGTCTGGTCCAAGGGAGGTGTGAGAGAGCTGAGGAACCAGGATTCGGGGGGGGGGGGCGGGGCTTCTGGTGAACTTTGTGAGCATGCACTGTTGTACACACCTTGTCCCAAAGCGAGAATAAATGTGTGTTCTGAGCATTGTCATAAGTGAGGACACCCTACAGCTGTGCCACCACTGTGACCCCCATATCTGAGAGTCTGTGTTTCACATCCTCAAAGGGCGTTGGGCCTCATACAGCCAGACGTCAGTCCCTGTTGGAAACATCGCCGTCTGCTGGTGGGGACATAAACTTAAACTCAGGTCCTTGTGCTTACACAACACACACTGTCCACTGAATGACCTCCTCAGAGTTTTTATGTCACACACACACACACACACACACACACACACACACACACAGTTTTATCAAGGTGGTTTCAGGGTTTGAACTCAGGTTGTCAGACTTACAGGAAGCACCTTTGCCCACTGAGCTATCTGTGACTGCTTCTCTGTCTCATGAGCTCGTATGCTTAGATCTCCAGGCATGAGAACATGAGTGTTCATGGTTTCTGTTACCAATTCCTAACAGACTGTTGTCATACAAAAAGGAGGTGTGGTTGGTGGGAGTGGCTGGATGGGCCACTACTGTGGTCAGTCAGCACAGACATTCCACATGTGTTCACCAAACAAGCTTGCTGGTATTAGTCACGCCTGCTTCCTCCCCTGATTTGTCTGCTGTGTCTCAAAACTGCCTGTTGGTATCTCCCACCTTGATGGATGTTTCTTTGTGTCTCTTTTCAGTACTACCCGTCTTAAGACTAAAGATACAGTATCAAGTGTCCTGTTCTTTGAGTGAACTGAAGATTTGCCATTGCCATGCAGCCTTCCTTACATCCATTCACAGTCTGCCCTCAGACCCCTGTGCTAAACATTTAAGATGCCACCCAGCCTTCTTTTGGCCAGCTGTGCCCAGTGACTCTTATTTCTATCTCTCCTCCTAGATTTCATATTCATCCTTGCTAAGTAGCAGAAAGCTGGGTTCTGTTTTCTATACCAGCCATCTGCTGTAGGTGGGACCTTGGTCACTTCCAGCTCTTTGGATCGTTTATCCAGACTCATTCTATCTGAGCTTGTCCTATAGCTCCCAAGTTTCCTTCTTCACCATCCCATAATGTCATTTGATCCCAAAGTTTCCTGTGTTCCTAGTGCCCAGTTGAAAGATGTGTAGCAATCATCCTTACCACGGTCGAGAAATCCCCAGCAGGACCAGGAGGTGTTGTTATCCTGAGAGAGCCAAGGCCTGGACACAGTGGCCTTACTGGACTCTCCAGAGTGAACATATGACCTCTGTATACTTAAGAAACTGTTGTTCTTTGGAAATTCTAGTTTAACTAGGTCTTGCGTGTTTCTCTGCCAAACTGGCAGCCTAGTCCCAGCCCCTCCCAGGCTACTTGCCTTCCCCTCACTTATTTAATTTCACTGGACCTTTTTTTGTTGCTGTCATGTGTCACCCACCTTGGGTCTGAGCCACATTGCACTCAGATGATTTCTTCCCCCATTATTCCTCATTTCCTGCCTTCCTGCAGGACATTCTTACTGTCTCAGGACTATCCTGTGGATTTCCTTTGGGAAAAGGGCCAATGTGGGCAGCATACCACATCGGTTTGGTTTGGGAGATACCTTCATTCCACCAGGCATGTGACCCAGGGTGGTCATGGTCTCCTCTTGGCACAGAGCGATAGCTCCACTGCTCTTTGCTTTCCTTGCTGTGTATGCCCCGCTATCCCCACTATGGAGATGACCTGCCTTCCACAGCTACTTTCACAATTCTGAGTTGCCCTTGATGTTCCACAGCTTGTTTCCAGCATAACTATAGATTTCTGGGGTTTGCTGTCCCTGTGGGGCTCGTCCCTGCCTGGGCTGGGGATTTCCCAGCTCTGGAGAGTCCACGGTCATTCCTTCCTTCAGTGCTCATTCCTGGTTGCTGAGAAGTTTAGCTGGGGCCTCCATCCTGAACACTGCCTGCCTTCTGCTCTGCCTCATCCCTTTAGCTGCAGCATCAGTGTTTGGGCTTCCCAGTGTACTTCCTTACATTCTAGTGTTGCTGTTATACAGCTCTGTGTGCCTCCCAGTCTGCTAAGACTGGTTCAGTGGCCTGTTTCTTTCACCATTGAGAACACATGGAAAGGTGTAACCACAGTCTTTGATAAGCCAAATAGACTGTCTTGGGGGAGAGAGGATCAGTGACAGTTGCCTAAGTTTCTGCAGACTGCTCAGAAACCTTCCCCTCTTGTCAGCCCAGCCTTCCCACTACATGAGTCCTTGTCATAGCCTGAAAACCAGTCCTCCCCAATGGCTGGCCACAGAACTCCAGGTATGTCTGGATGTCACCAGCGCTTCGCAGGGGCCTTGCTTTGTCCCACCCAGGATGTCGTATTGTGCTTGGTCCTTCTGCACCCACCAGTCTCCTCTGCGTGTCACGGTCTTCCCAACTCCCAGTTGCTTTTCATGATTCTGGTGACCTCAGGAAGTTCTGGTCAGGATTTTCTGGAATGTCTATCAGTTTATGTTGGCCAGTGTAAGCATGAAATGTCCCTACAAACATGTATTTGAGCATTGTCCAGGGAGGGTGTGTAACCTTTTGGCTGCAGGGCCCAAGGGGCATGGCTTGAGTGTTGTAGGCACTCATGCTCCCACCTGATTGCCCGTGTGAGGGCCTATGTGGCTGCTCTTACCGTTGCACCACCCACCAGGATTCCCCCATCCCTTCATCCCTGAGCCAAAGCCTTCTCCCTATCCCAGCAATACAGGAAATGAGTGTGAGGTTCTGTTCATGGTGATGGTCTTAGGGAGGGAGAAGCAGGTGGCCATTGTCTATACTATACCTCAGGGCTGCACAGTGCAGTATTTACCTCTGTCACCCAGCCTCCCTTGAAGTCACCTCCTTTCTGCATGAGGTGCCATAAGTTCTACCGCCTGGCATGTTAGCAGTGCTATGGCAAATGTCTGTCTTTCCACACATACATGCATTTACTTCTGTGTCCCTGCTCAGTTCTAACTCCATGCTGTGTTGTCTCATTGCTCAGCTGCCACCTTTGGCCATGGGTTACTCTTACAGATTGACCCTATATGTCTTCTGGTGTCCCTGTAGCTTGTCCTTACACAGCTCCTAATCGTGGCTTCATCGGGTACTGCAAGCTTCCCCAGTATATTCCTGCCCAGCCTGGCATCAACCATTGGTTCTTTTGTTGGTGAATGGCTCAAGGGTGCCATGTTGGCTCCACCTGCCCCAGGCTCCTTCTGGCCCGTGTTAAGTGATGTCTTTGGTTAGAAGGTCATGTTTCCTGGGATGTAACTGGCAGTACTCAGGTGCAGCCAGATTGGGGATGGGTGTGTCACAGAGGGCTGCAGTGGCTTTGGCCAGATACCCTGGATCAGGATTTCCAGCAGCTATACACAGCAGCTTTCCAGGCATGCTGAGGCCAGGCAAACTCTCAGAGTGACTTTATTTTGTGGCTTTTACCCAGAGCTGAGGTAAGTTCAGCTTTTGTTTGGGACGGGCGCCTTTTGCGTGTCTCCCTGGTCTATCGGCTTGTCCGTATTGCTAATATTGCTGATGTGCATTCTGCCCTGGGGCCCTGCTACTTACTTTATGCCCTGTTGTCAGATGTTTCATCTGTAAGAGGCCTACTCACTTCCTTCCATTCACCGCCATCTTCCACATGAATGAAAACAAGATCAGAGACCTTGGGCATTACAAGGCCAGGCCGTACAAGTGTAACTTCTGGTCTCTGCTCTGAGTGGCACACACAGATGACTCCAACCTGACATCCTGTAGGCAGCCTCCTCCTGGGCCTGTCCTCTGCCTGGGAACCCATGAATGTATTCCATTTTACCCTAAAGAAAGACTACCTGTAGGAAGTCTAAAAACAAACAAACAAAAACAAAAAAACAATTACCAAGTCGTGTTCGCTTTTCAGAGTTACTTTATCTTCTCTAGAAATGACTATCTTTGGGAGTGACATGCTGTGTCTGGACACCATTTAACATAAACATAGATAATATGATGTCCATTGCCATCATAATAGATCTGTGTCTCTCTTACAGCTTGAGCCTCTGCCAGAAAAGGTTCTGCAGCAGAGACCCAATGTCAATGCTGTCCACTCCATGGAGAAAGTTATGGACATCCACAGTAAGTGATCTTGGGGACCCAGGGAAGGAGCAAAGGGGCTCTGCTTGTGATGGGCTAGAAGAGACTCCCAGAACCAGTTCCTGCTGTACGGGCTTCAAATGATTCTAGGCACAAATGGTCCTAAGCTGCTTGGTTCAATTTCCCAGAACCAGGGTGCCTTGAACTATAAGTCTCTGTCAGGACCAGAGGTACCCAGCACAGGGTAGAACCCATCTCCCATTCAAGTAGCAGTCCCTGGGGCTCAGCAACAGGCACACAGCCAGGTACCCATGCAGCACCCTGCCCAGGTACACCTGCTACTCCTTGCCTGGATCTCTGATATGCCCATCCTGGTACAAAAGCTTGCAAAGATGATGCATACCTGAAGGCCTCTCCCAGCTCCCCACTGAACCATTTAGCTCTGATTTCAAAGCTGTTTCTACTGAGGTCGCTGACTCTAAAAAGCTGCTTGGGCAGGGCTTCCTGTGCTGAACCTGGATGTAGTATACCCACAACATCTGCAAAGCTCCAGGTAGGAAACTACCTGAGTCTAGGTACCAGCAAGTCTGCATGTGCCTGCGCCCAGAATTTCTGGTCACCCACAGCAAGGTAGAGTCCCATGAATGTGGAGAGCGAGGTTCCACAACAGCCCCAGCCTGTGTCCAGGTGACCTTGGTGCAGAAATTACTCCACAGAGGCCAGTGTTTCTCTTCAGAGAGGCACTCTTCAGGACAAGTGAAAATCTCCTGTGAGCTAAGCCAGCAACGTGCAGAAGCGGGAGAGTCACTGGGTGTTCCCCTTCCCCCAGGCAAGTACTGGCGCTGCCTGCAGCGTCTGTCCTCCACGGTGGGGCACTCTCTGATTGAGGCACAGAAGTGTGAGAACGAAGAGGCTGAGACGGTCACCGCCATGGCCTCGCTGTCTGTAGGTGTAAAACCTGCTGAGAAGAGGTAAGCCTGCCCACCCCTCCCCACAGACTGCTGAGTACACCTGTGCGCGTGAACCTGGCAGAATCTTAGTGTGCAGGGACAGGACACATGGTAGGCGTGTCCACTGTCTCTGCTAACCAAGACTGTCCCCCAGGGAGCCGCAGCAGGGCAGGGATCTCTGGGTAACTCTGTGGGAAAGGGAACCTGATGGCACAGGGCCTCACCCACCATGCACGCTGCCCCATCCCCTTTCTCCTCCACAGGTCTGAGGAGGAGCCCATGGAAGAGGAACCACCACTGTAGCCCCAAAGCTGCTGTCCTCTCCTTTGTTTGTCTGTCTTGAAGCTCAGCCAAGAAACTTTCCCGTGTCACTCCTGCGTCCTGCCTTGGTGCTCTCTCTGAGTGCAAAGGGACGGCAGGCGTGCAGCAGCAACGGGAGGCCTTTCTGACGCCATGGACCCACAGGTCTGGAGACGCACACGAACACCAGGTGTGGTAGATCACATGGAACATAGGACAGCGTGCAACACACGAATGCAGAGACATGCGGAAGCCAAGCACACACGCTGGTGGGTTCCCCCGGGGAAGCCTCGAAGGAAGAAGCCTGTGGCAACTTGGGCAGAGTTGCTGAATCGAGTTGACATGAGGAAAATGAAAATCAAAGATCTAATAATACAGAACAAACTTGATTGAAACTGGTGCTTAACATTCGATTCTTACCCACAATCCCACAGTCTTCGTGTAAGCCACTCAACTCATCTTGTAGCTTTTTTTAAACAGAGTTTTCTATGGCTCTGGCCTGCCTTGTGAACCTTAGTGGGGTGCTGTGGGCGTTCACAGCTTAGTGAGGGGCAGAGTTGGAAGAAACTTTAAAGAAAAAAACTGGACAGAACAGAAATGTGAGCCTGGGAGTCAGCTGGAGCTTCTCCAAGCCATCGGAAGATGCGAGTTTGTGCCTTTTTTTATTGCTCTGATGGATTTTTCTCTGGCTGGGTTTTCTGAAGTCTGAGGAACAATGCCTTAAGAAAAAAAAAAAAAAATGCCACCAAGAATTGGTGTGACAGTGTCCTGTGGCTGGCTGAGCCTGGTGATGCTGGCCTGGCATTACAAGAGTAGGCACCAGCCACTGTCCCCGAGGGCCGCAGTGCAGCCAGCCTTGCGTGGTTTGATCGCTGTTTAAGGAAGATGAGGTAGTTCCAAAAGCAGCGAACGCCGCCGGCAGTTTTGAAGTCCAACACGTTTTAAACCGGATCCAAAGTGTTCTTTTCTCATCCGTCACGTGCTGTTGAGCATCTCCATTCGGTTGTGAAGCATGTCGTAGGCACACTGCAGTGTTACGATCGGAATGCTTTTCATTAAAAGCAGGTAGCATGAAGTATTGCTTAAATTTTAGGTATAAATAAATATATATATGTATAATATATATTCCACTGTATTCCAAGCTAAGAAACTTGATTCTTATGAGATCTTGATAAAATATTTATAATGCATTTATAGACAAAGTATATATAAATATATATAATAAATCCAGACCACAGAGGTCCTGGCAGGTGAAAGACATGAGTGTTAGCTCTGAGGTGCTGAGGGCTGGGGTCTGGATTGAGGCCCAAGGATTTTTGAGCTCCAGATTGGCCAGCTTCCAGATGACCAACACATTCACCCCTGGGCAGCGTCCCCACCAGTTTGTACTTTAATTTTAATTATTTTCTAACAAGACCTCTGCCTTCTCCGAGCCCTCATGCACATATGTACCTGATGAGTTTTTATAGCAAAGAATATAAACTTGCTGTTGATTTTTTTGTATGAATTTTTCACAAGAAGATCCTGAAGAAAACATTGTTTTGTGGATTTTACATTTTTTCCCAGCATTCAGGAGTTTTCTGAAGGTGGTATGTCTAAAACTTTTCTTTTTAAATTCTTACTTGTATATTTTTTTTTTAGCTCTGAAGATTTTTTTTTTATGGTTTGGTTTTGTTTCTTTTGTACAGCAAGCAGAGCTTGGCTGTGCGCAGGCCAGCTGCTGCTCTGCTTGGTTTTCAGAGCGAACCTCTCGGGAATGGACAGCAGGTCTGCGTGGTGCCCATGCCTTGGCCTTTCGGGTTCCACCTGTACAGCAGGGGCTTTGTCCTGCAGCACTAGTAGTATCACAAGGCCAAGCCGGCCACGTGAGACGTAAGGGCAGTCAGCATTAGTGAGTGTGGGCTTATAACCACTCCATCAGGATAGAACTCCAGCTCTAGTTTCCCAAAGACCTTTGACACATGTCCACAAGCGCCTGGCCCAGAGCCCGGCCCCGCACCTGTTCAGGGGTTTCCACTGCAGCCTCAGAGCCGGGACTGTGTCTGGAGCCACAGCCCTGCGTTTGTAGCCTGTGGCTGCCGCACCAAGGCCCTTGTCACTTGAGCCTGCAGAAGAACACAGGGTCCTGAGGGGCAGTCAGTCTTCTTTCCTGGTTTTTTTTTGTTTGTTTGTTTGTTTTTTGTTGTTGTTGTTTTTTCCTATGACAACTGACTTTTTACTGCTAACTTCTTTTCTAGCACTTAAAGCCGCCAATTTCATTCCAAAGTGTGTGGAGTTCAGACCAGCGAGAGGACGTTGAGAGACTCAGAAGGGATAGCAAGCTTAGTTTCTGATTTGGGTGCGTTTACAGGGTAGACGGGAACTGGGTCAGGCTTTTGACAGACAGGCTGAGCACACATTCTTGGACTTTTTTTGATCACTGGGCTCCTGTGAGTCAGCGCTAAGCTAAGACAGTGGGTAAAGGACAGGGTAGAGAGGTCTTAGGACATTCCTGGCTCCTCCTTCCCTGTGGCTACTCTGACCCTTGGCAGAAAGAGCAGACCTGAGGTAGCCTATGCAGCCCCTCCCTTGCTTGTGCCACTGCATGGTGACAGCGGCCAGCTAGCTGCTCTTCTGGCTACCTTGGCCTATTTTCTGCACACCCTGCCACCTGTCCTCTTTGTTCCACGACTCGTGGGGAGGTACACTTCATCTTACTTTTTCAGGTGATGGGTAACAGGCTACTCGGTGGCCAGGGTATTGTAAGAGGGACTCACTTTGGTCCCATTCAGTCACCTTTTGATGCAGGGGCCTGGCCAGGCAGCCAGGTCACTCCAGCTTCCCTGTGAGCTGAAAGCATTACCTACCATATAGCCTTTTCTTCCCTTTGAAAACATGTGGCCCTTCTCCACAGTCATCCACCCAGGGCAGAGGGCAGAAGGTCGGCCTTGACCTCTAGGGCTGGACCACAGCACTCCCCTGTCTGGACCTTGAACCTTCCACCTTCTCCCCTCCTTTGCAAAGGCCTGGTGGGTGCTGGGAAGGAAGCGGGAGCAAGCACTTTACATCCCTCTACGGGAAGCCCGAAGGCACCATGTCCTCAGGATGCTGGTGTTCACTTACCCTTGGGTCTTCCAGCTGCACCCTGAGAGCCCATGCCCCACCAGCAGGCGCTGCTCCCAAGGCCACACCCACTGGGACATCCAGGGCTCTGGTTTCTGAGGGCCAGTTTATCAAAGTGTTTCAGTTTTCCTTTACTTTCAGATCTGTCCCCAAGAAGAAGGACCATTTTGTGATGGTCTCCGTAGCACTGGTGATGGACTTGGTCGTGTTTCTTTCTGTCAGAACATTCCTTCTTCACTGGTCACAGCCACGTGCTCATTCCATCCTTCTTTTTGTAGACTTTGGGCCCATGTATTTTATGGGCATTGATACATATATAAATATATAGATATAAATATATAAATATATTTTTTTAAGTTTCCTACACCTGGAGGTTGCATGGACGTAAGCCGGCATGTCTTTATATTGTATACAGATTTTGCACGCCAAACTCGGCAGCTTTGGGGAGGGAGAAACAATGCCTTTCTCTCCCCTCTCATGATGTTTGCAGATGCAGAAATTTTTTTTCTGTAAAACAAAACAAAACCTTGAAGGAGAGGAGGAGAGAGTTTGAGTCTTATTGAACTTATTCTTAAGAAACTGTACTTTTTATTGTAAGAAAAATTAAAAGGACTACTCACACACTTGTCACTAAGAGAAGTTTACCTAGCACCTTTGACATCCCGATAGTCGACTGTCTGCGTGCAGGCTCCACATTCAGGCCCTACTGCCTGTCTCTCAAGCTGCTTGGGAGGATTTCGTTTTGTTTTGTTTTGTTTGTTCCTTTTTTTTCTCCCTGCACAGGGCCAGGTGCACCCTGCCTGCTGTCACCGGCCTCTGTTGAGAACGTGGGGTTCCCGTGAGTCCCCGTCTCCGCACAACTCTGGAAGTCATGGGGCTGGGCTTCCACCTTGAGCGGTCCAGGCCTTTGTGAGCCCTGGGCACCGGAGGAAACATTTTTCCTTCTCGAGGATCCGGGCGTGCTCTGCGCCCGTCCTTGATGGTCTCCCTGGCCTCACATTGATCAAAGTCTCCTATGGAAAGAAAAGAATGCAGACAGGCCTTGTTCTGGGGGTGTGCACTCCACTGAGGAGGCGCCACTTCCCAATGTGTAAGAATGTTAAACATGCTGTGTCCGTGTATGCACAGGAGGCTGACCTCATTCAGCAAGAGCTCGCTACAGAGGTGTGGTCGAAGCCGTGGGAGCGCCGCAAAGTGGCGCTGTGTGGACTCCGCAGCCACGGCCGTCTTCACTCTGTAACAGCCTGTTTTCTCTTTGATTGTCTGGACCTCCCCTCGGCGGCGCTTTCTCCTCTTGGCGGGGTTGGAGGTCATGTTGGTTTTTCTCATTCTTGTTTCATTTTGTGTGGTGGGTTTCACTGACCAGCGGTGTCCTCTGACGGTCACCTCTTTCCACCTCCTAGGTCCAGTGTCTGTACCACATCACACGCGTGTCACTCTTGGTGTAAATAAAGACTGCGTTAATTGCCCTCCCATCTCTGCCGTCTGCTTGTGCTCTCTCCTTCAGCGTGCATCTGCCTGGGACCCTGGGCACAGGGAATCTTGGGCCCCCATCACTTGGACTGAACTCTGTGGCAGCCTCTCATGCTTTGCTTGCAAGTAGAGTCCCGTGGGGTCTCCTCATTTTAAGTCGTTTAAAGTACTTTTGTTATTGTCTCTCCTGAAGTTGTTTGCAGACAATGGTGAGCTGTGTAAGGACCAGCCTCAGCAGCGAGTGAGGCCCCAGGAAGGGGACCAGGGCTCATGTTCCTCTGCTTTTCATGGCTAAGCACTCAGAGCAGGTATGCAAGCTGCCAACTCCCACCACTAACAGTGAATAGCTCATCTCTCTCCTGCAGCACACATGGCTGGGCCATCCCCACTCCCTATCAGTCTAGGGTCACCCGTGGAGTCTGTTTCCCAGAGGAGCATTTGTCTGCTGCCTGACATCAGCGGGTCATATAAAAACAGCGTCTTTGCTGTAACTGGAGTTTACATGTCACTCTGTGTCAGCTGTCCGTACTCTATAACAGATTGCAGGGAGGGTCTGGATGCCCCTGGCCTCGGGTCTCCTGAGGCTGTGTGTCAGCCTTCTCTGACGGCAGGAAACGGTGTCCTCCCATACCTTCCTGGGGTTGGCAGACCCTGACTCACAGCCTAGCATGGTACCCCCAGCAAGCAGCCTGGGAGAGGGCCTCCGCTAGGCAAAAGATTTGAGGGCTGGCTTATAGAGGTTTCAGATATCTCCTGCTCTTCATATTTGTTTCATTTTGATTAAGAGCCATCCAGTGATTCTTAGAGGCCTTTACCTCACTAGGTAAGAAGAAACTTGGAGAATGTTCAGCATCTTTCACCATAAAGTCTACTGTAAAAAAAAACCTCGCTCCATCAGAACCAAGCCCCATCAAATGCACACACTGGGGAGCATGAAGTGATGAAGCTGGAAAGTTTGGTTCAGTAGTTCCAAGAGCTGTTAGGTCTGCTAAAAGCTCTGGCTAAACTGTCCACTTCTGAAAGCCCTGGCCCCTGACTTGTGCTCTGCCGAGACTCCATCTCCTGCCTGTCATTAACAACCTCCATTCACCCAGGACACCAGTGTAAATACTGCAGAAGGCTTAAAGGAAGGACATGCTGGGGCCTTATCTCTGCCCCTCTCTTCCCCTCCCCCATTCATTCACACTGCCTCACAGCCTGGCCCCCTAAGCAGCAGCTCTCCTAGGCTGGCCAGGCCAGAGCAGCAGTGCCGCCCAAGAAGGTTGGCCAACCAGTCTGTTCCCCTAGTCATGTGTAGCCTGAGCAAAACAAACCCAAGGTTGGTGATAGGGGTGGAGGGGGGGGGGGGGGGTCCTGTCCCTAGTGTTAAGAAACATGTTCTCAAGCACAGTGACCAGACAGTGGGTAGAAGAGAGGCCCGCCTGCAACATGAGTAAGACAGGCAGAAAGATGGTGGGATGGGCACTGTGAGCTGTCCTGAGGCTCTGGATGAGGGCACTGCCCTGGGGCTTATGCCAAGCATCAAAGTGTGGCTACCTGGAATCTGAGAGCCACACCCTGCTGGGGAAGCAGCTACTGGGAGGTGTCTCATTCTCCCCAAGGCTGGTAGGTGCTACATTTTTAAAACTTATTTACATTCTCTTATATTTTTCTTTCTACTTCACCCTAATCCCTTCAAACACCAGGTAGGAGAGAGAAAGGGTTAGTGACAGGGCCCCCGCAGTTCTCTAAGCTGCTTCCTGCTGGTTAGGGTCAGGTTCCTTGAAACCAGACCAGTCCTCACTTCAGGAGATCTCCAACTTACTGTCTCACAGCAACAAGCAGGAGCAGCAGCCTTGTTCTTTCTCAGGGCCTCCACACTCTGGGCTCTGGCATTTGTTCTCTCTCCAGAGTCCGAAGATTCAAACTATCTGCCCTGGCAAAGAGCTCCTCTCAGAGCCCACACGAGGCGAGCAGCCTGCTGCTGTGGACCATCCCTACATCCCACATCCCACACCTAGGACCAAAACAAAAACATGTTCGTATCCACAACAAAGGCTGATAGGACGAGTCCAAAAGTGTCAGACTGTCAGAGTTGGCATTTTGCAGTTCCACACACACACAAACACACACACACACACACACACACACACACCTCATTCCCCCACCCCCAGGGAGGGGCCAGTGCTATTCCAGCACCACCTGGTGATGTTTCCAAGAATCACAGCCTCACCCAGTTGGCCACCCATCCCTGAGTCCCCAAGCTCTGACCCCAGGAAGATGAGTTGAGGTCATGCCACTCAAATGCCAGACCCTCAAGCCATTCCCCAGAATTGTGGGGAAATGCAAACCTAGGCAGTGGGGCTCCTCCCTGGGGCCCCTCAGGTTAATTTCTTCATCTGCCCTACGGGATAGCTGTGGGCTTTCTGAGCCACAGACTCCTGGACCTCATCACAGCGTATACTCCCGTATGGACTTACCCTCTCTTTTCACTGAGTAGCTGTGTGCTGTGTCAGGTCCTGTCCGTAGGCTTGCTTCCCAGGCCCACCATCAACGGACCAGAAGGCAGACACACAACACCCTGAGCCAGTAACTTCATCAGGATGCCGAGAGGGAAATGGCTTGAATCCACAGCTGAGATAGAGGCAGATGGAGAGGGCAGATGGAGGGCAGCAAGAAGAGCCACCAAGGCAGTGGACATGGCTATGGGGAGATGTTGAGGAACTGAGGTAGGGACAGACACAGGGGCATGAGTAAGGGGCCCTAAACCCATCCAGATGAGCTGAGTATGACTGGAGTTTGCAGCACCCACAGACCCTAGAGAACTGCCTGTGGACCTGGGGCCCTTCCATCTGGAAGTTGTGCAGCAGCCAAGCACAGTGCAGTTACCCAAGTAGGTGTGCTCTGCAGGAGGCACCTGCCTGGACTCTGGATTGGTCGGTCTTCTGACAGTGAGCAGGGAGTGAGAGAAGTGATGGAATTCAGGGTGGCACACAAATACACTGAGAGAGGACTGAATGGCCAAGGCTAACAGGGCTCACTGGGGGTGGATCTAGTGAGGCAGACAGTACCAGCTTTGGACACACCTACCAGCTCTGCAGCTGCAAATGGGAGCAGATACTTAGATGCTGGAGTCTAAAGATGGAGAGGCAGAACTTGACTAAAAATGCACATCAATGTGTTGCAGGCTAGGTATCCATCACGATCACAAATCTGGGTGGCAAGATAGAGCAGTGACTGGCAAGCTGAAAGGTGCTGCATCCAAAGAGGTGCCATCTGAGGAGATGCAAGGGGGACAGCTCATGATGTAAGGAAACCACGGCTTGTGGGACTCTAGGGCACAGGCACCAGGAAGACAGCAGTGCGCAGCTTCTCACATGGCCAGGAGAGTGAGCCTGTAGCATGCACCCTGATTCCTGGATGCAGATGCCCTCATAAGCACAGCACTGGAAGCCACTTCCAGCCCAGAGTGAAGCAGGTCCTCACTTGGCAGAAACCGAGCTCTGCAATTTCCGAGTGATGGCGGCATGTATGGAGCTCCAGCTATGTCACTGAATCGACAGGGCCACCAGGAGAAGCACATTCTTTACACAGGAAGAAATGGATGTCCCCAGAAGCAAGGACAAGCCCTGGATGGAGGTGACTCTCCCTGTGCTGCTGGCCGGACCTGTGGGGTACCTTCTGGGAACCCATTGCTGGTCCCACTCTAGCATCTCCTCCCACAGTCCTGGGTCCCAGCTCCACTGAAGCCACAGTGAGCCCTTCTGGATGAGATGCGCCCTTGCTTATGATATATTGGGGCCTTTGTTTCACAAAGCCCTGTACATGGTCCCTGTGCCCATCTGAGTATCATTTGGCTCCTGATATATCTTTTTTCATTTAACATAATCTCCATATAACAAATAGCATTTTCTTTCCTAACTTTTTTTTTTCTAACAACATTCCAAGGTGCTGGAGAGGGCTCAGTGGTTAAGAGAGCACCCTGCTCTTGCAGAGGACCCTAGTCCAGTTCCCAGCACCCACATCTGTAGGCTCACAACTACCTGCAACTCCACCTCTGAGAGATCCAGCACCCAACACCCTCCGCTGGCTTCGGGCACTAGAACCATGTGCACATAACTGCCACATAGACAAACATAAGTACACATAATTGAAAGTTGTAAATATCCTAGCATGAGATGAGGGACTCCATCCAGCAGATAATGGGAGCAGATGCAGAGACCCACAGCCAAGCATTAGGCGGAACTCGGGGAGTCTTGTGGAAGAGCTAGGGGAGGATTGAGGGAGCTGGAGGGGTCAGGGACACCACAAGGAGACCAGCATAGCCAACTATCCTGGGCCAATGAGGCCTCACACTGAACCCCCAACCAAAGAGTGTGCATGAACTGGTCCTAGGTCCTTACATGTATGAAGCTGATGGGCTGCTTGGTCCTCAAGTGGGTGTCCTAACAATTGGAACAGGGACTGTCTCTGACTTGGACTCTGTTGCCTCCCTCTCATTTCCCTAGCAGGGCTGCCTTGTCTCGCCTCAGTGAAAGAGGAGGCACTTAGCCCTGGTGCGACTTGATGTGACAGGTGGATTGGTGCCCGGGGAGGGGTATAGGGAGTAGGTGGAAGGGTGAGACTGGGAGGAGAAGAGGGGGTAGGGTTGTGATTAGAATGTAACATGAACAAATAATGAAGAAAAGAGAAAATGAAAAGTATTTTAAGATCAGAAACAAAGGTAAGCATTGGCAGTTTAAACCCCTCATCAGTGGAAGAGAGTATTCATATTTATTTATTTACATCCTTAGGATCTATTTTTTTAATACCACCAATATTACTACATTGAAAGAAAATACCAGAAAAAAAGGAGCACAATGGATTCATACAAAACAAGTATAAAAGGTAGAATTGGAAAGTATAGGTCTTTTCCCCTCAAAAACCCAGACTCTGTATCTCTGGAACACCTGCCCTGACACAGAGGCAAAGAGCCTGAGGCCAGGTGTCATACAGGCTCTGAGACCTGTGCGAGGCACTTCCC